GGGTCCCAAGGTGGTGTTTGGGGTGCCAGGGCACTGTTTGGGTTCCCAGGGTGCTGTTTGGGGTCCCAGGAAGCTGTTCAGGGGTCCCAGGGTCCCGTTCAGGGTCCCAAGGTGCTGTTTGGGGTCCCAGGGTGCTGTTTGGGGTGCCAGGGTGGGCCCCGTACCCGATGCTCTGGATCATGAGGTTCTCCTCCTCGGGGCCCATCTGGACGATGAGCAGGGAGCGGATCTGCCCCAGGCACTCGAGCAGGGCCGTGGTGTCGGGCACGGAGGTGGCACTGATGGCGTAGGCCTTGGGCAGCGCCCGGCCCAGCTCGCCCAGAGCGTCGTACTGACGGTGCAGGAGGCTGAACATGGCCCTCACCAGGGCTGGGCTCTGGATGAACGACTCCTGAGCCCAGTGAACCATGGTCTGGGAGATCAGCTCCTGAAGGGTGCCTGGGGACAGAAATGGGGACATTGGGGACATTGGGGACAGCAAACAGGGACATTGGGGACATTGGGGACAGGTGGGATTCCTGAGCCCAGTGCACCATGGTCTGGGAGATCAGCTCCTGGAGGGTGCCTGGGGACAGAAACGGGGACATTGGGGACAGAAACAGGGACATTGGGGACACTGGGGACAGCAAACAGGGACACTGGGGACAGCAGGGACTCCTGAGCCCAGTGCACCATGGTCTGGGAGATCAGCTCCTGAAGGGTGCCTGGGGACACAAATGGGGACATTGGGGACACTGGGGACATCAGGGACATTGGGGACATTGGGGACAGGTGGGACTCCTGAGCCCAGTGAACCATGGTCTGGGAGATCAGCTCCTGGAGGGTGCCTGGGGACAAAAACAGGGACATTGGGGACAGCAAACAGGGACATTGGGGACATTGGGGACAGCAGGGACAGGCGGGACTCCTGAGCCCAGTGCACCATGGTCTGGGAGATCAGCTCCTGGAGGGTGCCTGGGGACACAAATGGGGACACTGGGGACATTGGGGACAGACACAGGGACACTGGGGACACTGGGGACAGACACAGGGACATTGGGGACAGCAGGGACACTGGGGACACAAACAGGGACAATGGGGACATCGGGGACAGACACAGGGACCTGGGGACACTGGGGACAGCAGGGACATCGGGGACAAACAAGGACAGTGGGGACGGGTGGGACTCATGTGCCCCACGCTCGGGGCCATCAGCTCCAGGGTGCCCGGGGCCAGGTGGGCACATCCCGGGTGGCCCTTTGGGGACATGTGTTGGCCACGGGGACAGTTCAGCCAAAGCCTCGGGGACACCTCGGCCAACACCTCGGGGGCACCCCGGCCGTGGCCTGGGGCCAGTCCTGGGGGTCCCCCTGCCCCCAGCCCCCCGTCCCCCCCCTTACTGGGCACCGGGGGCTCCTCGGGGGGGGTCTCCTCCTCTTTGGGGGGGCTCCGGACCCCCACGACCTTCTGCACCAGCCCCATCAGCCGCTGCCGCAGCGACGTCTCCTCCTCCTCCTCCTCCTCCTCCTCCTCCATCTCCACACCTGGGGGGGCACGGGAGGGGGGTCACCGGGGGGGTCCCGTGTCCCCCCAAAGGAGGGGTCCCTGCCTGGGGGTCTCCATGCCCTGGGGAGGATCCCAGTACCCCCAGGAGGGTTCCCAGTTCCCCTGGGGGGGGTCCCTGTTCCCCAGGGGGGTGTCCCCGAGCCCCCCTCACCGCAGTGGGGTGTCCCTGTGCCCCAGGGGGGTGTCCCCAAGCCCAAGGGGGGTGTCCCCTTGCCCCCCTCACCGCAGTGGGGTGTCCCTGTGCCCTAGGGGGGTGTCCCTGTTCCCCAAGGGGGTGTCCCCTGGCCCCCCTCACCGCAGTGGGCCAGCAGGTCGCTGTGGAAGTCGAGCAGCTCGTCGCGGATGTCCCCGGGCACGGGACACTCCTCACCCTCGGCCCCCCCCTTGTACTGCAGCAGCATGTTGATCTGGGACAGGGGGGGACACGGGGGGGGCACAGAGGTCAGCGGGACCACCCCACGGTCAGCACCCCGGGGGGGCTCCCCCACCTGTCCCCAGGTGTGTCCCAGGTGTGTCCCCACTGACGGGTGTCCCTGTGAGTGTCCCCAGGCCGTTCCCTTGGATGTGTGTCCCACTGTTCCCATGAGTGAGTGGCCCCAGGGGTGTCCCCAGGGGTGTCCCCAAGGTGTCCCCAAGGTCTTCGCACGGATGTTGGCCCCCAGGGGAGTCCCCAGCAGTGTCCCCTTGGATATGAGTCCCCACAAGTGTCCCTGTGGTGTCCCCAGCAGTGTCTCGGGAGTCCCCATGCCCATCCCCTTGGATGTCCACCCCCAGCCATGTCCCCCAGTGTCCCAGGAGTGTCCCCACGCCCATCCCCTCGGACATCCACCCCCAGCCGTGCCCCCACCTGCTCCTGTGGTGGTGACCTGAACTCCCTGGTCCTGCGGGCGGTCTCAGCGGCCGACATGGTGAGGGCCCTCATGAGGAGCCCGTACCGGCGCCGCTGGTCCCGCTGCAGCCGCTCCACGTGGCGCTCCGAGAACGCCACGATGGCCTCAACGCGGTGCTGCAGCTCCCGCTCGCAAAGGTGCTGCAGCAGGTGGCACATCTGGGGACAGGGGGGACATTGGGAACATCATTGGGGACATCAGGGACGTGGGGCTGCAGCTCCCGCTCGCACAAGGGCTGCAGCAGGTGGCACATCTGGGGACAGGGGGGACATTGGGGACATTGGGCACACGGGGGACACAATGGGAATGGGGGACCCCCATGACGGCCCTGGGGGCTGGAGATGGAAACAGGGACCCTGGGAGGGGACAGGGACCCCAGGGAGGGGATGGAGACCCCAGGGAGGGGACGGGGACCCCAGGGAGGGGACAGAGACCCCTGGGAGGGGACAGGGACCCAGGGAGGGGATGGAGACCCCTGGGAGGGGACAGGGACCCCCACTCCCATGCCCCCCCAGCCCCCTCCTCACCTGCAGCTTGACCGACTCCGGCAGCTTCATCTGCAGCAGCCCCTCCTCCAGCCCTTCCTCCTCTTCCTCCTTCTCCTCCTTCTCCTCCTCCTCCTGCAGCTCCCCGGCCTCGATGGCCTTCCTCCTCCTCTCCTCTTCCTCCTCCTTCTCCTCCAGCTCTCCAGCCTCGATGGCCTTCCTCCTCCTCTCCTCTTCCTCCTCCTCCTCCTCCTCCTCCCCTTCCTCCAGCTCTCCAGCCTCAATAGCCTTCCTCCTCCTCCTCTCTCCTTCCTCCTCCTCCTCCTCAGCCTCTCCGGCCTCGATGGCCTTCCTCCTGCCCTCCTCCTCCTCCCCCTCCTCCTCCTCCTCCTGCTCCTGCTCCCCTCCCCTCGCCCTCTCCCCGAACACCCGTGGGTCGATCATGGCCAGGACCCTCCTGACGTCGTCGTCGCCCAGCGCTCCCACGGCCAGCAGGGCCGACACCAGCTTGAGGACGGGCACCAGCTGGAACTCCACGCTCCCCCCCACGGGGTCCCGGGCGTGGGGGCCCCCCCCGGCCACGGCCTCGGCCAACATCCTCATGGCCTTGGCCCCCAGCTCGGCCAGGGGCACGGCCGGGCTCAGCGGGGCCCCCCCGGCGCCGCCGGCCCGCACGAAGCAGGGCTCCGAGAAGTGGGGCTGGGGGCGCAGGCAGGCGCTGGGCCCCACGCCCGGGGGTCCCGGCACCCGGTCCCCCTCGGGGAAGAGGGCGATGGCGCGCGTGGCGTCGGTGATGGGCACGATGAACTCGGCGCTCATGGAGGCGCGGGCGCGCTGCGCGGCCTCCAAGTGCATGGCCAGCAGCAGGTCGTAGTAGCCGGCCCGAAGAGGCCCCGGCAGCTCGGGGCTCTCGATGGCGAACAGCAGCTGGGCCTGGTCCACGTGGCTGCACAGGGCGTGGGCCACGCGGTTGTTGCCCAGGGCGCACACGGCGCAGTACAGGCGGAGAGTGTGGCACTGGAACTGCAGCAGATCCTCACGCTCCCACAGCTCCAGGATGTCGATGCACCTGGAACGGGGAAAAAGGGGGATCAGAGCCCTGGGATGGGATGGGACAGGGAAAAGGGGGATCAGGGCCCTGGGGTGGGATCCCTGGGATGGGACCACTGGGGTGGGACCCCAGGGACTGGAACTGCAGCAGATCCTCCCACTCCCACAGCTCCAGGATGTTGATGCACCTGGGGGGGGACGGGAGAGGGAAAAGGGGGGTCAGAGCCCTGGGATGGGACCTCTGGGATGGGACCCCTGGGATGCGATCCCAAGGTCCACTGGGGGTGAGAGCCCTGAGATGGGGGACCCCCAAGTCTCCTGAGGACGGGACCCCAGGCCTGCTATGGGGAGACCCCCTTGGTCCCCAGGGCAGGAGCCCCCCTCAGTGCTGGGGGTCCCTGGGGGTCCCGGGGGGGTCACAGACCTGTCCCCCTCGGTGCTGGGGGTCCCCGGGGGGGTCAGACCTGTCCTCCTCGGGGATGTGCAGGGCCATCATCTGCAGGGGCTCGTTGCACTGGACGGCCCAGCCCTGGCGCTCGCCCAGGCGGGAGCTCTCCACGCCCAGGTACTGGGTGGGCATCCGGCTCCAGGTGACGGGGGTCAGGTGCTGGATCACCAGCCGGGGGGGGGCACTGGGGGGCCGGGTTCTGCCTCTCGCTGCTGAACATGGCGGCCGAGGTGGGCATGATGTTCTGGGGGGGCGCCGGGGGGGGGGGGGGGGGGGGGGGGGGGCCTGGGGACCCACCGGAGACCCCCGGCACCCCCATAGGGTCACGTGGCTTGTGGTTCACCCCACGGACCACCAGGACCCCCACAGACCCCAAACAACCCCCACAGACCCCAAACAACCCCCTGGAGACCCCCGGCACCCCCATGGGGTCATGTGGCTTGTGGGTCACCCCATGGACCACCAGGACCCCCACAGGCCCCAAACAACCCCCTGGAGACCCCAAACAACCCCCACAGACCCCTGGGACCCCCACGGGGCCACGTGGCTTGTGGGTCACCCCACTGACCACCACAGACCCCAAACAACCCCCCGGAGACCCCCAGCACCCCCCGGTGCCACGTGGCTTGTGGTTCACCCCACTGACCACCAGGACCCCCAGAGACCCCAAACAACCCCCAGAGACCCCAAACAACCCCCTGGAGACCCCCAACCCCCCCAGGGCTCCAGGTCCTCCTCGGTCCCTCCTGCAGACCCCAAGACCCCTCTGCGGACCCCCAAACCCCTCCCCGCAGACCCTCCACCAGCTCCCCAGTGCCCCCCGTCCCCCCCCCCCCCCCCCCCCCCCCCCCGTCCCCCCCCCAGATGATGGGTGGGGGGTCTCCCCCCTGACCTTGAGCTTTCCCAGCTCGAACTGGAGCACGTTTTGGGTGGTGGGCAGCACGAACACGGCCGGGAACAGCTTCGTGTTGGGCTCCACCTGGGCAGGGGGCACAGCGGGGGCTGAGACCCCCAGGGAAGGGCAGGGACCCCCCCAGGGCCCACCCGGGTGTGAGGGGGGGTCTGTCTCACCTGGAAGAAGGTGTTGATCTCTTTGCCGTTGGCCGTGAAGGTCATGAGCCCCGTGGCCAAGTCGACGAG